AATATTAATAAAAAACAAAATATTTCTTTATTGTTTAATACCATTTTTAAGCCTTTTTGCCTTTAGTTTATTGTTATCTCTTGTTTTATCGTTGTCGGGGATTAATTATTTTCTTAATGTAAATTGAAATACTTAAACTTATTAGTTTTTCAATTATTTATTTTTTTAAATACGCTTATTTAAATTTAATTTATTCTTCGACACTGTCAAAATTTACGGTTTTTCTCTCGTGTAAGGAAGTTTTGACAACTGTTTGGCATTTCTCAATACAAAACGTCAAATTATTTTTAACAGATTTAAAGCAAGTTTAAGGCTTGTTGACTCTAATTCGAAGAATAAAATGTTGTATTCCACTCGTTTGAGTGTAAATCGGACGCTTTATTCCACCTCGTGGATGGTAAACCACGAGTGTCAAATAAAGAGTCTGATTTACACTCAAACTCGTCGAATAAATAACTATTAATCTTGTCATCTTGTCATTTTTTTTTGTAAACTTACATAGGGTTTTCGCTAAACTTTAACTAAAATGCAAAAAGTAAATTCAGAAAAAATCAGAAACTAATTATTAAAAAAAAAGATAAGTGAAATACTAAGTTTACTTGTTATTTTTTACAGAATAATAAATCAAATTAAAAAAAATCTTTCGATGTCGGTAAATTCATCCACTAGGTTGAATTGTCATTTTTGTCACATTAATTTACAAATTATGGCGATATTAATTCTAAATTTAATAATGGAAATTTTATTACAAATAAATTTGTGAGATTTTTTTTTGAATGGCTCATTATGCAAATAAAATAAATTAGCACTTTTATAATCCAATTTTTGCAGTCTTATTGTATCCAGACACAAAGCCTGTATTATTGAATTTAAACCGGAAAAGTGCGATTTTCTAATAAGTCTTTTTTTGTTACAGCAATTCCAATACTTTACATCCTCTTCACTGTGCCTGCTTTGCTTCCATGGTCCCAAGTCGAGCTTCGTTTCCTTTCATGGTGTCACTTTTTGGGGATTTTGTGTCCATGGGTTGGGAGTTTCGTTTATCATCTTTTTATGAATTTGAATCGAAGCGAATATTTTTATCATCGTCTGCTCCAATTGGACATGTTGGGAATTTGGATCAGTCAGAGTTTCGGTAATTGTTTGCATAGTTGCGAATTTCGATTAGATGGAAATGCTAGTGTGCGAACTTGACCTGAACGGTTTAATTTCGCTTGTAGCCTTGTCCTTTCAAAGAGTCCGTTTGAATTAGTTGAAGAATCGATATGAGATGGGGAGTGTTTTTGTGATCGGGATGGCTTAATTAGAAAATTGATTTATTAATTCTTTACAAGAATTGATCACCAATGATAATAGGTTGTCGCAAAACTAAAAAACTAAGAACCCTAATTTTTAAATAATTAATTATAAATTTAAAAAAAATAAAACGCATCCTAGCCCGGCGCATCCACCAAAATTAAACTAGGTGTAAAATCTTGTTGAAGTAATTTTTTTTTAATATTAAAAACACGGCTTCCTTGATTAATGAAGGAAGTTTCCCTTCACCCGGCTAGTCGCATTCATTAGTTCCGTGCCTTTTTTTTGGTTTCGAGAGGGAGCCACATTAAGGTACAAGATTTTGACAGTTAATAAGGTTATGTGCTGTCACACTCTTGTCAGTGGGAAGCAAAAAGGCGTTAGTACATTTATAAAAACATAATTTGGCCACATTTCGCTTGTGTATAATGCCATTAGGAATTAAATACGCACGTCACAATCTCACACTAATGATTTTTTTCGAAAAGTAAATAATTTCCTGATATGTGGCTATCTGGTAAAGGTGGTTTCATTTTCTTTTATTTGAATATTAACCATTAATTATAATAATTGAACATTGTACTAGAGTAATGTGTATTGTGCCGTATTAAATCCCTGACAATATAAGTGACTAAACCTGCAAGAGTGTAACAGCTTGTTAGAATACAGTGCACAACCAATACGTTCAAGGTCTTTTAGGCCCGTAGGGGGGTTATAAGATAAAGAAGTAAACGCATTTTGTACAAATTTGAAAATTTAATTTACTTTCAAAATTTTCAGTTTTTTTGAATAAATATAACTTTTTTTCCTAGTACTTTGTGTGTAGAGATTGCAAAAATTTGCCAACGATAATGCCGCAGACACTGCGATGTTCCTCGCAGGAGAATATGGGATTTTCATTTAAATATGAAACAATTATTGTTTACAAAATGTAGTCTACAACTTGCGTAGGCACACTGGGTATTATTTCCAAAATCACTCCTATGACATAATGAATTAACGCAATAAACTTTTCAGATGAATATTTGAGCTTTCCTCTGTCTTGATTATAAATTAATTCCAAGAGGGGACTTGTTTTTGACTCAAAATAATTGATGAACAAAAACACGATTAGCCCGTCACACCAAACTTTTATTTTAATAGCACAACGCGTTTCGACCACAAAGTGGTCATCCTCAGGTGAGAATAAAACTAACTAATTTAACAAT